GGCCAGCTGTTAGGGCAGGCCAACTCAAGGCCCAGGATGTGGTTCTGGGTGGTAGTTTAGCTGGTCACTCTGGGTCATTGGGACCACCCTGTCAGGTAAGACACAGCTAACTTTCCTAGGTCCATGCCATTGTGGTCAGCTCTCCCGTGTCTGTGGGGCAGGGTGGCACAGCCAGGTGGGTCTGAGTGGATGTCTGTGGCTCTTGATACTATTGAAGACCAAGCTGATGTCAGGAGTCTGGGCTGTCATCTGGGTCCATGTAGGTGTCTGAGGGCCTCTCTGACACAGAGGCCATGCTGATCTGGGTGGGCTGTGCTACCCCCTGCAGCCATGGTAACATCTGAGCCTGTGCTGCTCCATGGCTCTATGTCTGGATCGATGGTCCTACCACAGTCAGGGTCTGTGATGTCTGTGACCCATGGTGCCACCAAAGGCCAAACAGATACCTGGGGTCTAGGTTGCATCTAATGGCCTTGTTGGTGTCCAAGGACCATGTTGCCACTGAGGCCATGGTGTCATCTGAGCCAGGGCTACTTCCAAGTGCCATGTCTTGGTCCATGGTCTACAGCAGCTAAGGTCTATGCTGATGTCTGTGGTTCCTGATGCCATCAAAGGCAATGCCAATGCCAGGAGTTTGGGTGACCACCTGTGGCCATGTTGGTGTCCAAAGGCTTCACTATCATGAAAGACTTACCAATCTCAGTGGCTTGTGAAGCCCACATGGGGCTGGATCCAGACTGCTGCTGTGCATATTGGCTGGGTCCATGGCCCAACAGCAGCCAGGGGTAGGCTGAAGTCCAAAGCTCATGTTGCCACAGGGAGTTATAGGAACTATGAATGCTGAAATCCAAGAGCTGGCCATGCTGATCAAGCCCTGTCTCTCACTGTCCCTGAGATAAGCTGGCCCTGCAACTCACTAGTCACTATAGCAAGAAAGCTGGTGCCCCTCCACCATGGGAGAGCTGACACCAGTACTTGGCAGAGAATGCTTCTTCTTGCAGCAGGGGTTCCCTTGACTACTCCCAGGCTCACACACAAATAAGGCATGTGGAGTTCACGAAATGTGTATTCTGAGAAGTGTTGATCCAGACAGTCCATGACAAGACACCCATTTGTGTAGAAATGGTAGGAAGTTCCTTCTACACCCTAACTATGAACAGACAAAGCAATCACTAAATTCACTCATCTTCTTGGATGAGATTTGGTCCGGGAACAGTTCATTAATGACAGACAATAGGCAGGCAGGCAGGCAGACAGGCAGACAGACAGACAGACAGACAGACAGACAGACAGACAGACAAGGGTCCCTTCAAATTCTTTCACTCTCCTCCTTCAATCTAAGTTCTACATGAAACAAGCTTGGTGCCAATTTCTCTTCAGTACCAAGCCAGCTGGAGCACAGATGATTAGGGGACCTAGAAAGTATATCCTGCAGGGCTCAGCCTCCACAATAACAGACAGAAACTGCAATAAAAGGATAAAAAAGCCAAACGGGCCAAAAGCTGGCACTACTAGTCAAGTAATTTTGTAACAGACAATAAAAATGTTACACTAGTGTAGGTCCTCTCTTATCTTAGAGAGCCAACATATTAATGCGTCAGTCAGAAGGTCAAAAGAAGAATCCTGGAAGGGTGGGTAGATCATCATCCCAATGAGAATGCATGAAACGCACAGGAAATGCATAGCTAAAGAAACATGTGTTCAGACAGCTTCACAAAGCAAATGAGGACAGCCCCTCCAACTCTTTGTGTGTGCGTGCACACGTGCCCGCATCAGTGCGTGCATGCGTGTGTGTGTGTGTGTGTGTGTGTGTGTGTGTGTGTTGTGTGTATAGGGAGGAAGGGAGGCAGGGAGGATAATAGAGCTACAAGGCTACAAGGTACTGTCACAGATACAATTACCTCCACTTCTAGTCACCTTTCTGTCCCTCCTTGCATTAAGCTGATGGTGGTAACTGCTATGAGTGTTCCTGTGTAGAGCTGTAGCAGGCAACACAATACACTAAAATGAGTCTTGGAGCAGCCCTGGCCACACTGAATACTGCACAGCAACAGTGCAAAAAGACACAGATGCCAGTCCATGATCTATCACATCAAACCCTAAATTCTCCATTAGATGCTCATTTTAAAAGATTTTCTGGGAGAAAGCTAAGCCTATCTTAAATACCATCCCCATATATCTACCACATTGAAATCTAGGGCATGCATAATGTCAAAGACACACTTCTTATTCAGGAACATTTGAGGTAACATGGAAATATAAGAGTTATAGGAAAAGAAGCATCTATCTAAATAAAGGCATTATATGAATCAGATTGCAGTTAAAATCCCTGTTATGCCATAAGTATCACAGAAGCATAATTTTCTATATTGATAGCTAAGTATTCTTTACATCAGACATTTCCTAACATTAAGAATAATACAAAAATCTTAAAAGAGAAGTTTTTACAGGGTGAAAAAATGGTTCAGCAGTTAAGAGCATTGGCTGTTCATCTAGAGCAGTGGTTCTCAACCTGCCTAATGCTGTGACCCTTCAATATAGTTCCTCAGGTTGTGGCTATCCCCAACCATAAAATTATTTCATTGCTGCTTCATAAATGTAATTTTGCTACTGTTATGAATTTCATTGAAAATGTCTGATATGCATGCAGGATATCTGATATGTGATCCCTGTGAGAAGGTCATTTGATCCCAAAGGGGTCACACCCTGATCCACAGGTTGAGAACCACTGTTCTAGAGGATCCAAGTTTAATACCTAGCTTCTACATGGCAGCTCTCAACCATCTGGAACTCTAGTTTCAGAGGATGCAACTGCCTCCCCTGGCCTCCTCCAGCAACAGCCATGCATGTAGTGCACAGACAGACATTCAGCAAACATTGATACACAAAAAATAACAAAACACTATTTTTAAATGAAAGAAATTTGTGGTTTAAAATATCAAAAGGTAGATGATCAGAGAGTTATCCACGTTTTACAGTGTTAATGGCAGTGGCAGTGGGTGTCTAATTCCCCAGTGACTCTTTCTTGTAATTCAAATTACAAGCCATCTCACTTTCCTCCTGAAACTGCATACCTTCCAATGCAAAGAAAGCAGCAGCATCATTAAGTGTTCACCAATGTATAATCTTCATGTCTCACATACGAATATCTCTAGTGCTCATCAAGCTTTACTTGTCTGGAATTTGACTAAATGTATGTACTGGCTTTGGACATTTATTACATTCCTGAGCCCAGCACACTGAAGTGAAAATTCCAGAAAGAGAAAAATAAGAGCGACAGTTCAGCCTCAACACATAACTCTGTAGGGTCTATATATAAATACAGCTCTCTGGATCCTCTGTCCCCTTCATAACTTTGATATCTTTATCCGAGCCGTCGACGTTTTTCCTACCCCTCTTAGTTCCTTTGGCCATTGTTCCATAACCTCTCCTGTCCTCCCTAGGCTCCAATATTCCCCAGGCTCACAATTTCTGTTTCTCGACTTTATGTTCTCCCACAAACTGCCAGTGCTCTTCCACAGACTGAGGCTCCCTAACTAAAGATGGTTATTGATGTACAGTACCAGTGTTTTAGTGCAGCAGCCGAATCAATAAAGGAGAAAATACTGCTTTGTCAGGCTTCACCAAGGCATTCTGGGAAACTTTACTGCTTTGGGTGGTTACAGCAACTCTTAACACAGAAAGGGAGAGCTGGACTCCCTTCTGTGGTGAGAAATGATGTTCTCCTACCCTCTAGTGACTATAAAGGGACAAGGCAAGGATGGAGAATGTTTGATATGGCAGCTCGCTATTATTAATCATGGCCTCATCTGTTTCTGAAGATGGACCAGAGTGCAAGGAACCTAGTGACTTGGGAGAATGGCCAGTGATCCTTTTATAGTTCTGTTGACATGCTTAAAATGCAGACACGCTATAGTCAGTGTGGATACACTATAGTGGGTGTGTAGCATCAGAACATTGGCTCCTATGGATTTCTGGATGCAAGACAGTCTTAGCCCCACCCCCACCTCACCCCCTCTCTCTCTTGTGGGCATGCTCTTGCTATCTTTCTTTCTGTCAGAAATATTGAGAATTCTTGTTCTTGATGCAGACCCTACATTGTACAGTAAGTAGTCAACTGAGATATTGTACAGCTAAAATTTAAAAGTGTGTGTGTGTGTGTGTGTGTGTGTGTGTGTGTGTGTGTGTGTACACACTCATGTACAATTGATTGTCTGCACAACCTCTTTTTATCCCAGGCACAGATTAGCCCCCAAATTCAGAAATCAAATTAGACAAAGAACCTAATGTACCATATCATTTAACTAGAATTCTACATCTCTTGATAAAACTGCTGACGAGTTAAAAAATACTTTGGGGTTTACTTCTAAAGTAATCTTCACAATTTCACCTAATTTATAATTTTCTAATTTATTACCTTAATAAATGATTAAATTCTGAATGCCTTCGCTGATATGCCCACTTATATGAAGTTGAAAATATCATACAATTGCTCAGACTTACTAATGATGTACAACCCACCAGTACTCCATAAAGATATATTTAAAATATTATCATTATACATTGAGAAATAGTTTTGTTTCAGGAGATATGGGGAGACAGATAATGGCTGCCACATATTCTTCAAGTCTTCATGTCATTACCCCTGAGGACTCACATTAGCTTCTCATGGCAAATAACCTCCTGAAGGGACAGCACCTAACTATTCCACATTCTAAGTGTTCCAAGCTAAGCAAAGTGTAAAATTCTAACATGCCTGGTACATATAAAATGTCAGCACTCAAACAAGTGCAAGTTCCAACATCTGGTCATGCCCTCACTTAATGAATCTCTAAAGAAAGGTCCTTCCCTTTTGATTCATTAAGACAATAAGAGGTACAGAATGCCAAGACAAATCAAGTGGGAACAATACTAATTTTACATATGTAGGTATATACATTAATAATGTATTTGTGAAAAATACACAGTTTTATTCAGATGATAAGAACAAGTAAATTTACCTTGCTGGCACTTAACCGCTTCCGATTTGACCAACGCTTCATTGTACAGTGAAGATGTCAAAAATGAAACAGAGAAACATTGGATCATCAATAATATAATTAAACTATTTTACACTACATAAGATGCAGATTATAGTTAGATTATCAACTCCCGAATCTGAAAACTAGCCTCTGCCATCACCTAACCCTCCCCACACAAAGCTCATTTAAACAAAAAGATAGTCAGGCATATCATGCCTAGGCGGCTGTACACATCATTTTCTTGGGTATTCATAGCAGATCAGCACTGGCACAGATGTCATTCTATCTCAATAACATTTTTTAAATTAAATAAAATAGTATCATTTCATCTTCAAGTAGGAGAATCAGGTTTATCCTATGCACAGTGTTTAAGCAGCATTGTAAAAATGTTTGTAAATTCTTAACTAATATGAGTTCATGTTCAGGTCATCTATAGGTTTTGGTAACAGAAAACAGAATTCTATTTACTTTCATAGGTTAAAACTTCATAGTCAAAATAAAGAAAAGAATGCAGAACTTATACCATATAAATTTGCTATTTTGTAAGCTAATCAAAAAACACTAAAAATTTTTGGATCACCCTTGTCCAATTAAATTAATTTAACTGATCTAGCACATGTGTGAAAAAAGAAAAAAAAGTTTTGAAGGCCAACACATTTCACCCCACTCTTTTCTGATCCCTCTTTTGTCACGCAAACGCTTCTCAATTTCATCTAGAGTTGAAATTTTCTTTCAGCAAAGTCCATCTCCTCTCCCAAATCAGTATCCAGTAGGGCAATGCCCTGCTCTGGCTGACTCACTAGCTAACTGCTTGTTAAAAGTGCTTATGTTCAGGATACAGCAATTAAATTATGAAATCTAATCAAGCAGACCACATTTACTACAATGCTCAAGACACAGAAAAATGCAGGTAAATGACATGTCTATTTTGCTACTATTTCTCCTCAATCAATAAGAAAACCAACAAAGAACAATATTCAAGAGAAGTCCAATTAAGTTCCATGAGTCAGCCCTTAGGACAGGACAGAAAGAACTTTAAGGTTCTCATTAATACTTGTCCTGGGGAAATGGGAAGGTCATCATTGAGCACCTGACACAGTTACAGGTGCTACAGCTAAGGTTTAAAATAAAACTATCTGGGGTTTTCTCAATAAAAATACCAAGTATTCCCACTTAATCCAATCACAGAAATTAATGACACCCTTATGGTGTCGCAAAGCTATTGAGTCCTTTTTTGTATAAAGACTGGATTTTTTTGGTAGTCATCATAAAAGATGAAACAGATTAGGATACTGACATGACACCTACTTTACTGTAATGCTACAAGCTACCATATACTGAGTATTTCTAACATGCCTGGCATTGTGGTTGATCATGTCACTCTCCATGATTCTATAAAACAGGTATCCTCATTCTTATCTCACACATGAGGGAAACTCCTCAGGGAGGTTAACTAACCCTGTGGATTTGACTGAGTCAAATCTACTCAATTTAGGAGTCAAACACAGACAACTTGATGAGAAGTCAACAATTTTACTTATGCTCCTACTCCTCTTCAAGACAAAGAAAGTACAATTCACTTGGCTCAGTCAGGGAAATGCACAGATGACCACCACAGAGATTAGCTGCACATCTTAAGGTTTTTTCTTTCTTTTTTTGTCAGTTTGGTTCTAAAGCAACAAAATTTGCCTCACTGATGGAAAAGAAAAATGGTTGCAAAACTGAGAATTCAAAGTGGAACTTCTCCACAGTTTACACATAAGTGGCAATGCATAAACCAAGCATTCTAATCACATAAATCTACTGCCATCTAGGTCCAAGGGCTTGTTATTTCCACTTAAAACCCCCAAATAAACATGCCTTTTAATATCCACTTAAGTTTAATAAAAAAAGAGCAAATGTTTTCCTCTGTCTAGATACTCAAAGGGACCCTGATAGTCTTGTAAGTAAATGACTTACAACAAGTCATTCCTCCATTACTGACTCTTTGGTTATGCTTAGATCAAGTAAGTAAATAGAATAGGGAAATTACAAAGCAAAGTAAATGAGATAGGCAGTCTTTCATGTGATATTGCTTTCTTATTATATAAAATAAATTGCACACTTGGCTTCTGCTGGGCAATGCATAAGAGAACACACAAGGAAGCAGAGGCGCTGGCAATCTCAACAAAGGAGGTGGTGGGTGGTACTCAAGTGCTAAGAGTGGTCAGGCCAAGTGAGATGAAGACAGTGGATACTCTCAACACCTTGAAAAGACACACTTTGAGATGTATCACAAATGCAATTCCAAGCTGCCTCTTGCATTATTTGCTCTGTAGTTTGAGATAAATTGAAATCAGAGAGCTATTACTTTAAAATTCCAAATCTGGCGATATTAAATGCCATCAAAGTACAATCTGATTGTTGAGCATAGTCTAGTGAGCTGTGTAAAAATTCAAATGGTGCGGCTATTTTCTTTGGAAACATCAACTATACAAAAGTCACCAAAGAAATGTTTAGAACACATTGACTGTCAAGTGTTCCATCCATCATGAGCACCTGGTTCAAATACTTATTAATATTGGATATTAATTTACACTGGCACCTACCTCAAGTTGCCCACCACCAACTATACACTTGAACAGCGAGTCAGAGGGAATAGATTCAGAAGCAACAGCAATAGGATAAAAAAGAAGGTAAAGAAAAGTCCAGGACAGAGAAGTACAGAGAAGACAATGCTTGTCTTCATCATAGTCACAGTTTCACTGAGGTCCCAAGTGTGAATGAACAGTGTTACCTTAAGTATAAGTAAAGTTTTAGCCTGTTGTGTTTTAAGTAAATTAATCTAAGAAATTCAAATGTTGAAAAGCAAATATTTACTTGACACTCTCACAATTGAAAAATTTGTAATAAAAATTTTGGTATTCCTATACCTATTACTAGCTAGCTTCCAGGAGTTTACTAGTAAACTAGTTGTTGTCTTCATTATGAAATTCATTACATCAGAAAGATTAAGTAACAGCTAAAATGAAGAATATTTACCTCAATTTAGAAAATAATATTAGAAGTCTAATTTCTAAACAGGCTTCAGATTTTCACATTGGGTTCCATGCAGGTTCAAATGTAACACATCTATTCTTCCTTTAGTAACTGCTTTAGTTTGCTTTAAAAAATATCTTTCAGTAAAATTGCAATCAAACACATTGTGCTCTTATTTTAATTATTGGAATTATGATGCACAATCCGTGAATATGAAAATGAGATTATGATTTCCATCAGTATGTTTACTTGTAAGAGCAGACTTTCTATCTTATCGTAACAAAATCAAATGCTTCACTGATAGTGCAGACATATAGTGTGTTAATGAGAAATTTCCATGTGATAGAATAGGGAACATTAAAATTTGCATTTTTCATAAAAGCACACCCAATGGAAAAGGTAGCAGCTAAAAGCAACAGCCAGTGAAGAAGGCGAAGGACTCTACATATTGCAAGAAGATACTCGATCACTTCACAATTCATGACGTAAACATTAAATTCTGGGAACTGCCTAAATAACAGAATATGTGAATGTTGCTCAGAATCTAAAAATTACTAAATAGAAACCCTAATGTTTAAGGAAACTATATTTCAAATGGTTTATCCAGGCAAAACACATATAGTCTGTGAGCATAATAGCAATCCTAACCATACCTTCACCAGCCAGGTAATTTATTACCTACGTTGTTTGGCCAGCAGTTCATGAGAAAGAATGTAGATAAATACATACTGATACTTGATGCAATTGTTTGACTTCTCCCCTTAATATACAATTGACGGTCATCCTGTCTTCTGGCCAGTCATCAAAGACTCACCCAATGGAGAGGTTAAACAGAAAGGTTCCCACTTACATGCCTCTTGAAATCACCCTGTTTTACAACTAGGTTCAAATTTAACACAATCACTCCCATGTCATCTTCTAAACTGTTTGGATCTTCCAGTTTTAAAATATGTTCGGTAGTCCTGCAAGCAAAACACAACACGTGATTTTAACATTAATTGGCAATATTGCAGGCTTGACAGTACATCCGAAGCTTAAGGAAAAAGCCTGCTACCTAAGCTTAGATGGTGGGGGGCTGGGGCGGAGAATACAGAACCACATTTAATGAAAATATTTTCTGGGGAAAATTAAAAACCTTCTGACATTGTCAATTTCAACATTGGTTAACTGATTTCCCTGCTCTACCACCCACCAAAATAAAGTGTAGAAACATGTTTTAAGTTAAATTATGAACCTCAATATTTTAAAAACCTAAATAAGTACCATTTAATATGAATATGGATTTCCCCTGATAATGATTCTAGGTAAAAGTAGGATACCTGTTAAGTTCCAGATCCCTGAGAATGACAAAGGCAGAACCCATGAAGTCAGATGTGGTTAAGTCTCGATCGTACACCTAGAAAAGGAGGAGGATATTAGCATATGGGGCCACCCAAACCATCTGGCTTTGTCAAATGACTAAAATATAGAACAGACTGGGGCCTTGCAAATCCATCTTTTAGTCCTTACAATAATTTTCACAGTGAAGTTGAATAAAAATATAATCAAGCCTATACAAAGAAAAATCTTACCTATTATACTAGCCATGCTCAAAACAATAGGAAAAAAAAGCCTTATAAGGCAGTGGTCAAATACAACCAAATATTACACACAATGGACCCTCCCTATAGTTTAATTGGCCTCTCATTAAAAACTTAGCATTTTCCATAGTGAGCAGATCTGCCAATTAAATAGAAATTTGCTAACTATTGTACAGCCATCTCATTCTGCACTCAGCTCCTACAGTTTAAACCCAGATGTTGGGGTAATTGATGCTTACACCTGGTAGCTTGAAGCTCTATTAAATATAAAGTTCTTTCTAATGAGAACAGTGTCTACACTTGTCACCACTACAAGACCAGTAATAATTCTTCCACACTGAGTAAGTTTAAATAGAGCCAATAAGGACATTATTTACACAGTGCATGGTGACTTTGTAGCATATGTATCTCCCTGATTTGAGGGAAACACAGTTTCATAAAGAGCCTAAAACAATTCCTCCTACAGTATTATATATTTCACTCCAGCCTCGGGGTAAAAATGGAGGGATTAATTGAGGCAAGTTCACTTTTAAGTCGGCCTGAGAACTACAGAAGAATAAATATTTTGAAGGAAGGAGCTGACTTGATTATTACCTTTACACGAAGCTTTTGATCAAGGCTGTGTATGGGCAACACAACTATCTCATCCCAAATCGGGTTCAAGTTCTTATATATGACTTTACTTTTGTACAGAGTCTTTCCGTTCAGCTTAAATTTCACATACGGATCACTCGTGCCTTTAAAGGAAAAAGAGAACATGACAGAATTTCAAACACACACACAAAATCTAACAATTCTACCAAGTCAAGATTCTTCCCACAGTCCCCAGGCCTGCAGCAAGCCAGAGAACACACTGAGATCTGTGTCTCTCTGTGGAGGGATGTGAAGCCCCAGAGGTGTCCTGGGGAGGGAGAAATGCGACAACTTAAGGGTAAATGATTAATTCCGTTTTGTTTTCTATGGTTGAATATGAATGGGCTCCTTGAGCTTTTTATGTGGTTTCATTGTGGATATGTCACCCCTCAATAACCCACAAAAATTCAAAAAAATCAAGTCAGTGTCAGGAACCCCAGGGAGAGAAGCTTGCCCCTCCTAGGATCAGCATAAAGTCCATGAAAAGGGAAAGCAGCCATTCCCAAATATTTAGCAGATGGTCGATTCAATCCAATCTTATACCTTAAAATATAATCATAACAAATAAATTAGCCTCTGCAATCACTCATTCAAAGGATGATGTGAGGGGACTCAGCCTGCAACCAGGGGCATAGAGATTAAGTCAACAGAGTGGCCATTCTTTGCTGCCTCCTCGCACCTGCACCAAAGCTGCACACATTGTCCCCACCCAGGACCAGCACATGAGCCAGGCCCTCAGCTGGCCTCAGAGCTGACCTGAGTGGCCCCTCCTGGGGTGCTTTGAAATGGATGCCAAAGAGAATGAATAATATCCCTCAACTTGCAATCTCCCTGACACACACACACACACACACACACACACACACACACAACTGATGGTAGATCCTCTTCCACATTTCTTAGATCAATTGAAAAGAAAAAAAGCTCACAAACATAATGCATGAACTGTGCATTGTGCCTATATGTTACATGAATGTGTATGTCATCTAACATGCCAAGGGCATACTTGCTCATCCATACCAGGTGAGTACAGAAATGTGAGCAAATGAACAATTAGCAGAGAGATAAGGGAAGCCCTGCTTTAAGATAAAACTTGTGACTTGCAGAGTGATAGCATTGTGGTCCATCCTGAAACACAGCCCTATGAGGATGTATGCAAAGAAGCCCCACTGTCTAATTTGGGGCCCCAGATAGGTTCCATGAATATTCACTGAAGTGAATTTCTGATATGAGATTCAAGCCAATACCATCTACAAATATTCTATCAAAAATTAATCCCCCAAAATTGTACTTTGCTGCAAGCACATCACTGGGAACTAATATTCTATACAGTTTGTCACATAAGCCCCTTCTGTTCCATGTGGCCCCAGTAGTCAAAAACACAGAAAGTAAAGGCAATACACTCCTGAGCTATCTGAGTGGAAGGTGTCATCACTATGGAACAAGGCAGCATACATTATTAGATAGCCTTACTAAAGCAGGAATTTTCCGAGTTAGCATTCCAGTAATACAAGGGCACTGACTTTAAACAAAGAAATCAAAATAACCCACAAATATCAGACATGTCCAATTCTACCATCTTAAGTCTGGCAGAGCAGGAATGGAAGCCCAGCCTTCATTTGAAACACGTACCCAAGCTGAGCAGTTTTCCAGGGCTAGTAAAAAAAAATAAATGCATTCACAGGCACTCGGTGGAATTCTCACTGGTGAGTGAGCATCTGCCCACCCCCATTCAGCAGCTTGAGAGAACACCTCTGGCTGGTCAGGCTTTAACAATCATCGTGATATATATATATAAAAAAAGTGGGGAGAAACTATAATAAAAAGAGGCCTTTAATTAAATGAAATTGCCACTCTGGGATCAGGGCCTTCATGCTTGTCAGCGTACTCTCAAAATAAACATCTCAAAACTCGGCCTCAGTGGTGTCACTTTCTCACAGGCAAGGCATACTGGGTAATCCCCAAGCATCTTGACAGCTACATAATGTTCAAACTGTTTCACGGGTGAATGGCGGCAGTTGCGTGAAAGAAAATATTAATGTCTGGAATTAATAGAAAAAAAGGACCAGGGTTTACAAAGCCAAATAAGGAAAGAGGGTGTCAAGTTAGTGCGGTGTTAATTGTTCGAGAAAATTTGCGAGGAGGGGGTTTTCTCTCTTGGAGCCTAAGTGCCTGACTGTCAGGGAAGTGGCATCTCAACTAGGCAGGTTCTGAAAAGGGGCCAGCAGCTCTGGAATGCGACTCCCAGATTATACAAATGGTGAGCTGACACCTGAATGGGTGGACTTTAACCTTCCTCACTGGGAGCCTGGGATACAAAGAGACTCTTGTGGTAGTCAGTGCTTTGAGTGGAGAAGGAATCAGGGGACCTAGAAACCAGGCTGTGTCCAGGCAGACCCTGAAACTCTTGACACTTGGAGCCAGGGCCGGTCGTCTTCTCCCACACTGCACAGACTGGAGCTTCCATAAACAGAACCTCTACATGCACAGAATCAACCAACCATGGACACAACATATTTTTCAATATATAAAATGTGTCCTTACTGAGTTAAGTACAGACTCCTGACCTAGTCATTATCCAAAACATTACATAACAATTTACTTATATGGTATTGACATTGTGTGGTTCATCTACAAATGAAGTAAAAGATAAGGGGAGGTGCACATAAGTTATATATGATTTTATGATCATTTACATATAATACTATATATATGCAAGCATGGCAGTTTATATACTGCATTCTATATAAAGGACTTACACATTCATGGATTATGGTATTACCAGAGGCACTGGAAATATCCCCCTGCAGATTCCAGGGAATGGATGCATCTGTAGTCTTAATCCTTGCAGCACAGAGGCACCAAATCCCCCTCCTAAGAACCGCAGGAATCCCAGTGGTTCCTGTTCCTGCCCACTGACCTACAGATGGTTACTCTTCCTTGACCTGTACCTGTCAGTCATGCTACCTGTCTGTCAATCATGCTACCAGACCACAAATACCTCTGGTCTTTTCCAAGTCTTTTTCTATGCCAGATACCCCAGCTGTTGCTAAGACACAAGACCCAGCTCTTCTGCACCTAATGGTATGTGCACCCCACAACACAGCATGGGGTCCCAGGTGGTAATGTTCAAAAGAAGTGAACACAGTGTGCAGTTCTGCTCAGGAGTAGGTAGCAAAGGTAGTTCCTAGCTCACATGTCAGTGAGGGCTTAAACCAAGGAGACAGGAGTTGAAATAAACCTGGGGCCAAACAAGAACAAAGACTGGGGTCAATGGAGCAGGGAAGGAGACCCCCCAAAAATAACTGATGTTGTAATACCAAGCAAACATTTCAGTGAACCCAGAAATTAAGGTAGAAAAAAAAAGAGAAAGAAATAGATTACAACAGGCTGTTTTGAGTCAGAGACCAAAGTGCCTTAAACATACACAATAAAGAGTTAGTTATTATTCTGCAAGAAATGCGGGTGTTTTATTTCCTGTTCCTGGCCTTTTTAATTTTGCTTAAGTAAAAGTAATATATGCCCGCAAACTTTGAAACACATGAAATGAAACAAAGTCTGTACCCTCTGAGTGGTCCCTGAACTCATTTGTCTGGTTTGATACCCATAAGCAGTTTCTTGGGTGTTTTACAGGAGAAAATATGTGCAGGAATCATTTTTAAATGACTGCATTTTCTCAAGTAGTATGCCATAGTGCTGGGGCCACACCAGCAATATGCACCTACTGGTGTCTTTGCAACTAAACACATCTTCACTGTGCTGTATTGGTGTAGACAAGTAGTTAATATTTTCCCAGCTGTAGACAGCAGTTCAGGCAGCAGGCTGATGTAGCTATCCTGGAATCCCTTTTCTACAGTAAGTTTGTAACACTCAAGTGTGACAGTGGCTCGTTTTGGTTCTAACAGACCTTATAAATTTGTTTTCTAAGCTTATCAAATTTAGGCGTGGGTAGGAAGGGTGGACCTCTGGGTTGGAGGGCTTGCTGTCTTTCTTGCTGCTCCTTCAGGGGACCCCAGTTCTCAATATCCATTTTGGGCAGCTCATAGGGGAATCCAACAACCACTTCTGGCCTTTCAGGCACCCACATACATGGTATATACAGGCACACGCACACCTACACATAAATATAAAATAAATCTTCTTCAAATGCTTATCAGACATAGAGTATACAATGTTATTATCTCTTTCTGTATTTCTCTAACACATAATATTTTAAACCTTTATTTTAATATGTGGGTGGGTGAGGGGATAAAAAAAAAATACCTCTGTCTGTCCCCTTATCTGTAACACTTTCAGGGACTCTCCTGCTGTTGTGACTTCTATTTGTGTTTGTCAATCAGATTCTTGTTATTATGTGATTATCTTTCAGTGGACTTAGCTTGTCTTCTGGCTACAACTGCAAGGGATCTTTCTAATGGAAACGGCTCACCGACTCTGCGTCTTGTCAGAATTTAACAAGTTGTTACTGGCAATAAGTTATATTCCTTTTTATTTCATCAAATTAGCCAAGGTCTGACTTTTTGCCTTTGTACTTTCACATCCTGCATAGAAGCTTTTTTTTTTTTTACTGTAAGATTTTAAATTAATTCAGTCTTGTTTCTTCCCATTGATTTTTGTACATTTTCTTTTTCTACATTATAGGTTTTTTTTTTTTTTTTTGGTCCATCTGGAGTTATTTTAGTATGAAGAGGAAGGAAATGTAGGTTCACTCAGGAGGAGAGTAAAGTGATTAGAGCCAAGCTTTGCACATATAAATCTGACAGCAGCTTATAATTTAGATGAGGGAGAATGGGGAGAAAGCAAGGACACCTGGGAGCTGGGCCGAAAGCTGCAGCAGAAGGCTGAGGTTAGAGGACAAAGCTGAGCTCAGACACTAAAAACCTCATGAAGGAGGCTAGGGAGCTGGCTCAGTCGTTAAAGTGCTTGCTGAGCAAGTGAGAGGACTCAAGTTCAGATCTCCAGAACCCAGGTTTGGTCAGGGTATGAATAGGGCATAGCATCCTATCTATAGTTCCATACTTGCGGCAGAGGCAAGGCAACTCCAGAGGAAGCTAGTCATCTGTATGAGCTCTAGTTCTGATTGAAAGTCTTTGCCTAAGAATAA